TGTATCCTCTCTACTCAGAGTTGAAACTAAAAGTTTCTAATAATGATTTTAAAAGTCATCTTCAGTACAGCTTCATATAAAATAAATAAAATGGATATTTGAGCTCCTGTTCCACCATGAAATGTCATTTCAGCCTACTAATTGTCAGTTGATATAAACCAAAATGTGGACACTGTTGATACACATGATGGTTCCAAGAGGGCTCATGATGCATTTGCCAGGCTTTGCTTTTCCCTTTCCTGCCTGTATGTAAATAACAACAACAACAACATCAACAACAATAAATCTAGCCACATGGCTTGCCAGTTTCATACTCTTTTGGATAGTAGTTTCATTGGGCTGACCATTCAGTCCCGTCAGGCATGTCCTTAGGTAGCAGTACCATAGGCTACAGAGATATGTCATCAGTATTATGAAATATGATAAGTATTATGAAAGTCCCTGGTAGTGGGTAACTCTGCCGATGCAATAAACCAGATCAAACTGAATTAAAGTCCAGGTTTTAATCTAAGCAAAGCATTCCCTGGTGATCTCAAGGGAAGAGGGGAAACCTCATGGAATAGCTGTAGACCTGACCTTAAATATCCTGTAGGCGTGGTCTTGAGGAGCTCAGGGGGAGGAGCCACTGCTTGGTGGGCTTTCTTTGGGCGGGGTCTGGAATGAGAGGAGTGGGGCTGAATTCCCAGCCAAACATCTCAGAGGTGTGGTTTGGAATGGGGCCCAGGAGTAGAGATTTCCAACAGTATATTAGATGAGGTTAGAGAGACAGGCTGTCTGTCCAGATTTCCTTCTCAAAGAATAGTGTGGAGTACAAGCTATTGCGCAGCTTCCGTAGGAATCTATTTTTCCCCTGCTGAAAAATGAAATAAATAAGATGGCTCTTGGGTTCAGAGCTGAGTAGAGTCTATGTAGATGATGAAGGAAGTGGTGGTCCTGGCCATGACCCCTCCCACAGGGCAGCCTGCTGGACTCCACCTGGAGACAGTCTTGTGGCTTTGTAATGGCATCGTTTTGGTCCCCTTTACTCTTTCCTCAGTGTCTGCCCATGAAGATGCTTGGAAAGCTACCCCCTCACCACCATGCCTGAAATGCTAGGAAGGCGTGGCAGCCACTGACACTGCCCCTCTCTGCCTCCCAGTCTGCGACAGCAGGAAGAACCACAGGAACAAGTATTTTTAAGCACATAAAAATGTGCCACAATGAGACAATATTTCTTGTTCTGGTTTAATTTCTTTAGCTCAATAAGATGGAGAAAATTAAATGGTCTTCCTCCCTTCCTTTCTCCCTCCCTCTCCTCTCCCTCCCTCTCTCCCTCCTCTCTCTCTCTCTCTCTCTCTCTCTCTCTCTCTCTCTCTCTCTCCCTGTCTCTTTTTTTTTTTTAAATTCATTCCCATCAGAATCATCTAGATAATGGGGAAGGATAGAGCTTTGTTATAAGCTGAATGTATATAATTGTCTCATTTGTGCTGGGAAACTCTCACAATGCTGAGCTAATGAGTATTATTTGTGAGATAATCAAGAGGAAAGGGTAATTCTCTCAAGATATTTTCTGTGTGACTCTGCTTAACACATGAGTATGGAGGAGGAGCCCACTCTGCTCTGCTGTCCCAGACTAACTTCCTTCAGAAATGTGAAATTCCTGGCATTTTCGAAGGATCACACAGCAAACCCAGACTGCTTTGGAGTCACTCTCCTCAAATTACCACAAATCTCTCCTCCAGTAAACATTGTGTGTTCTCTCCATTTGATTAGTCCTTTTGAACGAAAGAGGAGCGAGGAGATATGGACTTTCTCTTGCAGCTCTTGTGTGCGTGTGTGTAAGACAGAGAAAGAAATTAGATATTAAACATCCCTGCCTCAAATACTTCCTCTAATGAAATTACAGCAGTGTATGCTTGACACACTGGTGCAGGGTTCGTGCTGAATAAGAGGCAATACAAATTAGAGCTTTGCATAAAACTGAATCATTTCATATATGTTGGTAATTCATGCACTGTTGGGTTATCTGATGTTCTCCATGTTTATTTTTATATTGCCCCAAGGGACATGAGCTCGTGAATGTGGGAGGGTCGTGAATGAATGCTCCTGCACACACACACATGTCACTGCTTGACAAACTTGAAAGGCTGACCTTCAATGTGTGTGTGTGTGTGTGTGTGTGTGTGTGTGTGTGTGTGTGTGTTTGAGTGACTGTTGTACATTTCAGAATACAGGAAAATTAACTGTTATTTCTTTTTCCCATGGAAAGACTGGTAACTATTACCCAGATGAAAGAAGATCCTTTTGTCTTTGGCTAATTCTGCTGCTCAGAGTTGTTCATGGCATCCTTTGGAGCATAAAAACTCAGAAAGTGATGGGCTTTGAATGAAAAAAAAAAAAAGCAAACCTTTTGTATGATGTCAATGTCCTACATTTAAAATTTGTAAAGCATGGGGAAACTCAAGGTTTTATATATAAGAGCAATGACGTATTTTTTTTCAGGCATTCTAGGTTGAGTTGGGTAGTTTGAGGGGCAGGGGTGGCATATTTGATAAATACTAATATGGCTTCAACAAAAGCTGTTATCTGGGGCCTGGGGTGTCTTCCCAGACCATTGACAGTGGGTTAAGGTGAAGATAGAGTTACACACAAAGACACAGGGTCAACTGAGTAATGGTCACATTTGTGATTCTGAGTGTAGAACCATGATGACATTAATCCAAATTTGAAGCCAACCTGATGCAATGTGTTGATGCTGAGCAGAAACTCCGATGAATGTGAAACAAAGCAACCCAAAGGAGAAGGAGCTGTTTAACCAGGTACTCTAACACTGGTAGGGCAAGTAGAACCCATCTGAGGATTGAATTTCTTAAAATCATCGCGTAAGACCCTCATTATCCTGGTTCCATTTTGTATCTGCTAGCAGTAAGAAATAAGCTAACTGAAGCCCATACACCCAAGTAGCTTTGCTCAGCCCATGTTCAGCACTTGGATAGAGATTAGAGGACGTGATGGGGAATAGTGCAAACATGGAATGAGAAAAAATGTAGGCACCATCACTGATCAACCATTCTGTAGTGGCTCAGTTTCTTGAGGTACTCTGGTATATATTCATGACTGAGCCTCTGCCTCTAAAGGTGGAAGGAAAGGACCCTAAATGGTTCCACAAACCGTTGGATTAGGAAAAGTAGTGACACTTGAGTGCTTGCTATGAGTCCCTTAATTCCTACAGTGTTGAACACAGTAAGGCAAGCCACGTTTGTTATTACTTTTTGTATTTTCTAAGCACTAGGAACCAAACCCAGGGCCCTGGACTCCCAGAATGCTAGGCAAGTGCTCAACCACTGAGCTATGCCCACAGCCAAGCCTTTCATACTTTTATGTCTGAGCTATTCCCAACCATATCCTCTAATCTCCATCCCAGTTTCAGTGCTAAACATGGGCTGAGTAAATCTATTTGTGTGCGTGGAATTAAATTAGATTATTTCTTATAACATAGAGAAAATGGATCCATAATAATGAAGGCAAGAAACAAAATATTTGGGTAGATTAGTAATCTATGTAAAGCTACCCTTTTTAATGTGAGGGTGTCTGATTTGGACAATTCTCCCCATGCATATTTCAGAACTATGTTAACTTGTAACTGTGTCAAGATAAACAGAAGAGGCTTTTTACAGAGGACTTCAGCACTGTTTTCCTATCCCCTGACTCTATAAGAATTAACCAGCGGAGATTGAATTGGCTAATAGTTCCGATGCAGCATTAACATGGTACTCAACTCTCCTCTTCCCTGTTTCAGTGGGAGGAGGTCTTGGTTTCTTCCTCTTTCACTTCTTTCCCTCAGCCCTACAGCTGCCTGCACAAGACATGTGGGCACAATCCAGCTGTGATTGAATTCCTGGCCCAACGTTTTCTTTTTAATTCAGTAATGAGAAGCAAATTCCTGTGGGTGGAAATATTCAGAAAATGTCTACAAATGTAAGTAGTTGCCAAAGTCAAAACTTTAAAATCACATTTTTAATTAGGGTCCAAAATGCTCATAGACCATTTCTAGGACAACTCTAGTAAATATTATTTTTATAGTTTGATTAAATCTGTGACTCTCATGAATGGATCTAATCCTCCCTCGTATTATAAAGGAGAAGATCTTGAAGGGTCATTTTACAAATAAAAATTAATGATATTTGTTCTCCTTGCTGTGTTGAGCTACCTTGGTGTAATTAAAGAACTGGTAAACTAGAAGGGAGTTGCAATGGCCTTAGGAATTAGGGCAAGCCCCTGGTTTTACTCTATGACAAAAATTGACTTAAAAATGTAGTAAGAGTCACTGATGCCAAATGCTCCCCTCCCTCCATCATCCTCAACTGTATGGTCATTGATGAAAAAAAGTGGGATATAAATAGACATTTTCACATCTAATCCCAAAGAAAAAGTGGCTCTTCACATAACTGGTCACTAGTATAATGTATAGGACACAATCTGGAAGGATCTGAATCTTGTGTGAGGTATATTAATATGTAATAATTCATTTTCCATGCAGAACACCTCAGATTTGCTGCTTGCGACCTATTTATTGTGAGGCCAATCATGGCATTGAAAGTCACTCTGGGACTTAACATTGGTGCTGTTTTGTTTTTTTTTCCCACAAAGCCAAAGTGTATATTAGAAGCAAAATATTTTTGGCTAAGTTTCCACAATAAAAATACACAAAAGTTTATTGTGGCAACTGACTAAATAATATGCTGCACAGGCCCAGCCTTTAAGTGCTAATTGTAAGAGCTTTAGACACGTCTTTTTCCTCACTAACAATTAACACTTATTCCAGTATGTATTTTCTGGGATTCAGCATGTGACTGGGTATGACTGCTTCTTTTCAACTGGCAGCTGTCAGGCCATTTAAAAATCTAACAAGTTTTCCAAATACCACATTCAGTATGACAAATACCAGCTGGGGTTGCAGCCAGGCCTTGAGTCAAACAGTTGATTTAAATAATCCTAACCATCAATTGTGAACTTTGGAGTGTGTCTGCTCATTTTGAATGGACATCTCAAGGCTTTGGCCTCTTCCTTACTTGCAGAGCTTCTGTCTGAAGTGTGCAATGGGATGAAATATTTGAATGGCACCTGTCTTTCTGTTATGGAACATGCCCGTGAGTAATGTGCTGGTGTCCCTTACATCTAACAGCTTTATGCTCTGAGCACAGTAATATGTATTCAAGTGTTGCACTGGCTTAACAGTTGATCCTTGGTGTCCTGTTCTGCTAGGATCAAAAAAACAGTGGAAGATTTTAACAACAAGAAAGAGCATATAAAGAGTTCAAACTATTTTACTGAAAAGGAGAAAGTGGAGGAGGAGAGAAGCAGTATTAATGAAGAATAGGCTTGCCTTTAAGATGGTACTTTTTTGAAAATCCATTTGCAAGCTCCTCCTTTCTTTCTGTTATGGTTGTAACAACTGATTGTGTTGTGAATAAGTTCACATTTGTTGAATCTGTAGTTTTTGACTATACGTTGTTCTAAGTTCTTTTTAGTTGACTTGCATTTTAATCCTCAGGTGCATTGGGTCTCCGCAAGAACACATTCTTTCAGAGTTTAAAGACTTAAGAAGCTAATTATGTGCATATGTATGTTGGGGGAGTGCATGTAAGTACAATGTCCTGGGGATGACAAAGGTGTTGAATCTCCCTAAATGTGTGGTTACAGGAAGGTGTGAGTCACCTGATGTGGGTGTTGGGAATGAGAGATGGTCCTTTACAAGAGCAGTATTTACTCTTATTCACTAACTGTCTCTTCAGGTCCTCTTTCAGGGCTTTAAAATAGTAGTAATATATAGTAATAAATAGTAGTAAGAAGTAAGATACAATTTATTTCCACAAATAAGGAATATGATGACTCTGACAATGTGATTTTTACAGTTCTGCTGTGGAGTCCAAACCAATGAAGCTTGTTTCTGTACACCTCTGCATGGGCAAACCTGGAACAGACATCATCACATGACCTGACTACTGAACAGAGTCTGTGGGTCTGGATCAACAATGTTGATATGATAAAATATTTAAGACCCTATGTAGTTAATACTAAGGGCTAAGTAAACATCATTATTATTGTCATTTTAAGGTATGTAATATAATGATGCTTTCTACTTAAAGTGCACCTATACTGAGCTGGCCATGTCTATGGGACTCAGTATTTGTATGAATAAGGGAAAGCAATAGAAAAATGTGTACCAGAAACATAAAGTACTAGATAGTAGAAATGACAGCAAGTAAGTCTTAGGTATCCAAGTAAAATGATTCATATAAAAAATACCCTGATAATTAAGCTTAATATACTCTTATGCTTTGAATTAAGACACCACAGAATTTCAGAAAAAGTGAAAATACCCTTCTCTACACACATACACAGGGGCAAACAGAAACAGGAGAACGGCCATTGATCTCTCTAGTGCAGCACAGCTCCACCTTCTAGTTTTATTCTGTTACTTTCTGTTACTGTGATAAAGCACTCTGTTCAAAAGCAACTTAGGGCAACATGGGTTTGTGTCAGCGTGCATGTTCCAATCCATCATTAAGGAAGTCAAACTGGGAACTCAAGCAGGAACTAGAAGCAGAAGCACTTGAAGCATGCTACTTGCCATCTCAAATAAGCTCGTGCTTAGCCAGCTTTCTTATATAGCCCAGGACCACATGTCAGGGAAAGATGCCACCTACAGTAGGCTACAAACTCCTACAGCAATAGGCAGTCAAGGGCAGCTCCCACAGACATGCCTCCAGGTCAAGGGCAGTTCCCACAGACATGCCTCTAGGTCAATGTGATCTGGAAAATCCCTCAGTTGTGACCCTAGGCTGTGTCAGTTGGCAGATAAACGCAACTACGGCTCTGTATTTTATTCCTATCTAAGGTCAGAGGGATAGATGTTAAAAAGATATTACAGAAGGAAATAATTCAACAGTGATACCATTGGCTATGTCTAACCTCTGCCAAACTGCCAGTGGCTGTGAAATCTTTCAAAAGGACAACTGAAATATAGATAACCTAAAGACTCTATTGCATGCAACTACACAATCCTCTTGTATCTATTTTTTGCTCCCAATCATTCCTCTCTCCTTCATCCTCCCAGGAAGGTCTGGGCCCTCCTTCTGTTCTACCTCAGCACTCTCCCACATCTTCACTGAGCAGTAACTCCTCTCCTCAAATCTAGAAACAAACCTACAATAGCCATATGCTCATGGAACATCTTTATGAAGCAATGACATTTTCTCCTCATCAATGCTAATAATCACACCCATAAGCCTTTATCTGAATTGCCTGTTTCTGTAAATGGCAGCAAGTGGCTGCCTTCAGAACTCAATATGACCTTTGCTTCTTTATATTTCTTCCCTTTCATCACGCAATACACTGCCAAAAACTATAGAAATTTCCTCCTTAATATTTTCTCCTCAAATGTCATCATTATCATTTTAATATAAGTCTTTGTAGATTCGTTTGTAATAGCTTTAGCTTCTGAGAAAGCTGTAAGCGAGATGGTTGATAAAACAATCTACTCAATTTTAGTAGTTCTCAATCTATCTCCTTATTTCCCATCTTACTATCAAATCCATATTTTTATAGCAGCTGCAAGAATCATTACATAATTTCACTCACGTACACATGCATCATTTGTTCAGAACTTTTAAAAACAACTTATTATCTGTTAGATGTGGTCAATATTTCACCGTATCATCTATGTAATATTGCATACTCCTCCAGGTTAACACTTTCCATGTGCTTACAGGAATGAAAGAAAACTTTTTTCCATTTCTTCTCCCAGGAAAGCATAGTGAAATACAAACCAGAGGTGAGAGAACAGCAATTGGAGAAATAACCATTTGAGAAAATCTATTAAACTTCAAAACAGCCCCAAATCCCTGGTGTTTGCACCACAGTCTACCTCACTAGCCTTTGTCATCCATAGTTGGAGACCAAAGTCTCTACTCAACAGTCTCCTAAAAGTCTCCCCTTCCATTTGAATCTTGGTCTGTGAAAAGGGAAGGCCACAGCCTTGCTTACTCTGCCCCTGAAAGACTGTATTTGAGGCAAGCACAGCTGGAAGAGTAAGTCCATGTTTCACTCTCTTGTTCTACTCAGTTCCTACTTGTAAAAAGCACAGAGGAGTAGGAATGCTAAGACCCTGATGTCCCAAATTTCATCATGGGGTAGAGTCAACACCTGGAGGAGTGGCCATCTAGTCCGCAGTGCTTATTCACAGAGCTGACATGGCACTCGAGGAAAAGTGGTCCTTCTGTTCAGCTCTAAGCAACTGGTGCGGGGTTGCCATACAGGGGAAAAGGTGGGTCATAAAGGCAAAGAGCTCCAGAGCTCTGCCCATGGAGAAGATGCAATAGAGTTTCTTTGGGATAGGATGAACTGTACCCTTAGGTCCATTGTCTAAATGATGGGGATTGTTACATACACATTAAAACAAACTAGTAGGGCTGCCAAAGCTAAAATGGCAGGGCAGTGTGAGTTCAAAAAAAGGATACAGGGAAAGAATGGATAAGTGGAGGATCCTGGTAGTGTAGACAATTTCAGAGGTTAGAAATGTGTAAGTAAGCCCTAGGTTAGACCATTTAGTGATAATCAGAGCAGGACATGGGCCACACTTAAAAGCCTTCCCAAGTATGCTGAAACCACACTGTATGACTAATGAACACATAAAAAAGTTTCCATGGGATTTATTAAACAGATTGAACAATATGCTACTTTGACCTGGGGCAACTTCCAGAAGCCAGGCTTGAAAATATAATCATACAGTCTAATAAAGGCCACTTATGGAAATCCACACAGTAACATTACTTAAAAAAAAAAAAAGAAAAGAAAACGACAGAATTCTTTCCCCTGAGATAAAAACAAAAACAAAAGACAACAACAAAAAAAACCCAAGGATATTCAAAATTGGCAGTTCTAGTTATGGGTCAATTAGGAAATAAATGCAGGCATACATATTTACATACACAAACCTTGCATTTATACTGGATACATTATAGCCTTACTTCCACCAACACCAGCAAGCATAAAATACTAATTCTCAAGTTCCACCCTTGATAGCCAGGTTGGCTGCCTCCTGCCATCAAGTTGTATCAGAGAAAGCCAATCAGAAATGAAGGATTTTTATCACAGAATTGTGAGAGCAAAGTGATCTCTTTTTCTGTGATGTAATGAGTACCAGTGAGGAACAGTAGTGAAGCCACAAGGAGATCAGCAGAGATAGTAGGGAACCTTCCTGTCAGCAGAGGCTTCCTGTTATGGGCTGACACACACTTGAAGACAAGCCTGGAGACCATGCTTTAGCTCTCCTACCTCTTTCCCTGTGCTGGAAGTGTTACAGAAAGTCAGCCAAGCATGACGTTTAAATATTAGCCAACATCTTCTAATAGAATATTTCAAATATGATCCTCTGTTTAGAACTTCTGTGTCACATCAAGAACCAGGGAAATCTCAAATCCACGAAAAAGATGAGCCATGAGAATTACTGGGCAAAGATGTTCCACCTGTTCTGCCTCGGCAATGAGCAGTCGCAACACAATGGGAAGACACAATGGAGAAGGTAGAAAGGTTTCGGAAAAGAAACAGAAGATGGAAGGCTCAGATATAAGATCAAGATTTACAAGTACAATTTCTTAAACAAACACCCAAGCAAGAAAAGGGTAGAGAGGACAAGACAGAATCCATGAGCTGGGAGGTGAGATGGCAAAGTTGCTCAGTGTGAATGAACAAAAGTAGAGACAGTAGACTGAAAACCAAACAAGAAAGGCATTTTAAAAAACTCCCAGACTTCTGTGAGTATATCATAAACTTCTAGCATTTGGTGCTGCGTCTCAGAAGAGGAGAAAGAAAAGCCTGCATCTGAAAACAGTACTGGTAGACGGGAAGCTGGAAGCCCCTCTAAATTGATAAGCTTCAAACTCCAAAAACAAGAAAGCAAATACATTCTAAACAAGGTGAACTCAGTTTCCCACTAACACTTCCCAGTGAAGTGGGTAAAACTGAAGACACAGAAACCACTGGAGACAGTGAAAGCAAACAATGGGAAAAACACCACACTTCTCTTTAAAAAAAATCACAAGTTCCAGGAGTAAGAAGCAGAATGTTTTTTCAAATGTTCAAAGAAAATAACTGTAAACTCAGAATTTCTTATGCAGCAAAAACTGTTTCCCAGAAATTGCGGATATTTTCAGGAGAAAAAAAGCTAAACAAAATTTTAATCAGGTATATTATTTTTTAAAAAATCATGAAAGAAAAATATATGAGTAGAAAGAAATCTAGTAGGAAATGTAGAACACCTTAAGGGAAGAAAGGAAAACAAATAAACCCCAAACAATGAAAGGAATAAAAAACTGTATAAATACATTTCATTTTTATTTTCTTTTTGTGTTATTTGACCATTGGCTGATAGGTGAAGTTCATTAAATTCTAGATTAACATAACAATGTATTTGTCAAATGTATTAGGTAAAGAGCCATGAAGCGATGTTAGGTGTCTGTTTCAGTTTACCTGGTAACATGATGTCATCAGCCACAGTGCTGTATAAGATATTTCCTTGGAGGGAGTTCATAAGAAAGCTTAAACTGACACTAAAGATAATCCTTAAGAATAAAAACAAACAAACAAAAACCTAAACAGAAAATAAAAATCAAATGGCTGAGTTAATGTTTAACAACCAACTATTATATTAAATAAAAAATGTTCTAAATATGCCAACTGTAAGACAAAGATTTTCAAAACTGATTAAAAACCATGACACAACTATATTATTTCTATAATGTGAGCATGTTTCTTGCTAAACAAATAATAAGAATTATATCATGTAAATATTAATTAAATATTAGGAGTAGTTATATTAAAATGATATAGCTAGATTTTAAACAAAGAATATTGCCAGCAACAGAGAGATTTGATCAAATAATAAATAGACCAGTCCATCCAGGAAATAATATTGTAAATGTCTATTTACCAAAGAAGAGCTGGAAATTTAATGTAATGAAAAACGACAGGAATAAAAAGAAAAAAATACATGAAACTACAAGTGCAGTTGCAGATTCAACATTTATCATTAACTAGAGAGAAACTCTGTAGAATATAAAAATCAGCTACATTGTCAATCTCACTAGACAACAGATACAGAACAGTCCAAAACATAACAGCAGAATGGGTGCACATTTGCTTCAATTACCTACAGAATGTATTCTAAAGTTGACTA